CCGCAGCACGACTTGACTTCCAAAATCGTTACTTTTAATCCCGAATCACACCGTTGAGATAAGCCCGAGCTAAGCACCTCCAACGAGATAAAAACCGCGTGGCAAACGAGAAAAAAATCACTTTCCCTCCGCCGTAAACAGCCCGGTCCTAATGGATCATGTTCGTCACATTCGGGGGAACATCCGTGAAAACAGTTTACATTTCACACGTTAACCCCTCCCCCCACCCCCACCCCCTCCCCCTCCGCCCCCGGGCGCTCTTTTGATCTCGGTTCCGCTGCGTGTCACTTTCGGTCCCCGCGCCCGAGTGCAAAATAAATGGTGATGCCTGTAAACTATACTGCCATGCTATGGCAAAACACCTTATGAGCCGTCAGACGTTGCCAAATTTCCTTCGATAAAAACTGAGTTTACAGGGAAAATTGTAAATATTTGTCTCCAAAATTTCAGACAATTTTGTTCGCACTAATCTAAATTATCTGAAAACTTCAAAGAAAAATGTGCATGAATGTCGTCGAAAATAAATGTTTTAACAAGGGAAATTTGGCAACCTTCGAATGTTCATACGGCGTTCTTCCTTAGCACGGTGTCATACTGCTATACTAAGGAATAACGCCGTATGAACATTCTAGAATTGCCAAATTTCCTCTGATAAAACGTTTGTCTAGGAAGGAAGTTATGCATATTTTTCCTTAACATTGTCAGATAATTTAAATCGAAGTGCAAAAAATATTTTGTCCGAAAAATTAGAAGCAAAATACTATTTTTCTAGTAAATCGGTATTTTATCAAAAGAAATTTGGCAACATTCGAAGGTTCATACGGCGTTTTTTCTCAGCTTGGCGGTATGTAGATGCTATTATTATAAAGCCACATTATAACGAAGCTATATAAATTAGGTTTCCTTCAGAAGGCGCATTAGGAAATTCGGGGGAAAATGCAGGTAGACCCTAACCAGAGCAAGTGTGATTTACATAAAGCTATAAACAATAAGGACTTCATGTCGAACGCTTCCAGCGAAGACAGTGCTCTTTAGATGTACTCGAAACTTGAAAAATTAAATTCCCCTTCAATTCGACAGCCGTGCAATTTGTGCTACGTGGGCGTTGAAATAGTTATATTATGCACTTTACTGAAACTTAAATCAAACGCCAACATCGGAAAGTTCCCTCTGATGTACCTGAAAACTTGGACATAACTAACTCCCGTCAATTCGATAGCTGTGTAATTTTAGCTATCCGTGCATTGAAATAGTTTAATCAAACGCCAAATAAAACCAACGGAAAGTTCCTTCTGATACATGTGAAAACTTGGATAAGCTAACTTCATTCAGTTTGATAGCTATGCAATTTTAGCTATCTGGGCGTTGAAGTAGTTAAATCCATCATCGTCAGGTGGAGACAATAGCCCATCCGTTTTCTAGGTACGCCCTAAAAAGGAAAAACCAAATCCTCCTTCTTTGCGATAATTATGCAATTTGAGCTACTTGGACGTTCAAATAGTTGTATCTCACGATTTAACGGAACTTAAACCAAACATTATCGACCAAGAGCAATATATCTTCTCTGAAAGTACCGTAAAAGTAAAAAGAAATTGAGTTCTCCTTCAATTCGATAGCTATGCAATGTGAGCCTCCCAGGTGTTGACATAATTGCATCACCCTTATTACTCTGATTATGGTCTCAGCCAGCCTGATGACGTTATTCATCTCCCAGATCTGCCACGCTAAGGAGGAACACCGTACAAAAGTTTGAGTTGCCAAATTTCTCTCGATAAAACATGTTTTTTTGACAACATTCATGCATGTTTTTTCTTGAAATTTTCAGATGTTTTAGGTTAAATTACGTACAAAACCTCTGAAAATTTTGGAAAATAATGTTCACAATTTTCCCAGTAATTTCCGTTTTTATCGGTATCGGTATCGGTTTCGTTTTGCAGAAATTCGGCAAACCAAACAAACTGAAACTGATCGATTACTTCTGAAAGTTGATGAAAGGTATGAAATGCACGGTTGCAGTATCAGGCGGTAGATTGACTGTTGACTTTCGCCGATCTTTGTCAGTTGCGTCAAACGAAATCCACGAGATTCAATTAATCTCGCGAGGTAGCGCAAAATGCTATTTTGACTTTGGGGACCCGTGCGAAAAGCTTCATCGCCAGACCCCATTAACCATCGGGTCACTCGTTTCGTTTTCAGTGCAGCATCGTGTTTAATTTAGATTTTCTAATTTTCAGACTGAATTATCCCGGGTTGATTGCGCATACAAAGTGAATCCAATATTCGGTTTGCCAAGGTTCGGCTTGGGAAGGAGTGCCAAATTTCATGACGATTCGTTCATCAAGTGCTCGTATTTCAAGGAAATACGGATTTTTGCCCTTTGAGCCTTGTTCGCTTATAACCAGAGAGTTTGATTTTAAAAGGCAAAAAGAAGTCTCATTCTGACTACTAGAATCAACTCTCAATTTTGCCACTTCAACCCTGAGGTGTCGTGTTCAATGTGAGAATCAAAGACATATTTGTGACTGTATCTGTGAAAAGGGACCATATCTTTCGAGTGAAAATTTTCTTTAACGTTTTGTGAACGCGCAGAGGAAGAAAATCTGGACATTTCAGCGCACGTTTTACCCTAAAATCTCAAAAATTGAAGGGCATATTAGTCCTGGAGCTCCCAGTCGAAAATTGTTATCTTGCAGAAAAACGTGGTGCGTTTGCAAAAAGTCAAGGAAAATTATCTGTTGAAACATAAGTTTTTTTTTCGATAGATCCGGTTTTCAAAAACAGGAATCAGGTCGTCATCAACTTCACATTTGAGCCGTTTATACGTCTAATATGAATCCAGTCCCAGTTTTTTTTTGACCCAGCCTCTATGTTGAAGATAGTCTGGGTCAAATACTTTTACAGCTATTGTTTATTTATATTCGAACGCATAAGTTAGAATGCACCCCGCTGACTCACTCATATGTCTTGTTCCGGCCGCTTTAAGCCGGTTTATTTGTTTTCAAGGGTGGAAGTTACTCCGGAGGTCCATCAATCACAAGTTCCAACAAATTAACCGGAAAGAGCTGAAAGTTCCGCTGAAAGGGGGCAGGGGAGGGGGCTAAATTCAGCGCGCTTTTTTCCCCCGAGTGCGGACTCGCTGAAAAGATGGCGGGGTTTGTTTTCAGCGGTGTTTCCGGTTATTCGAAACTGCTTGGGCGGAAGATGAACTGGATAAAAACTCGCGATACGAAAAAAGGCGGTGAGGAATGTTAACGCGCCAACTTTGCTCGATTCCCGGGGCCCCGGTGAAGGCAGCTAAATAATTTTACGCTCGATTCGGCTAACTTTTAATGAAGCGTTTATCTTTGAAGGATCCATGCCGCGGGAACTTTTAAACTGCTCGATAAACTTGCAGTTTTTGGACCTGTCGTCTTGGTTGAGCTATCGGGTCCCGCCGCACAGTGCGGAATCCTATGGACAAAAATCGAAAATTGACTTTCATATTTTCCAAATATTGTTTTGATATTCGTCATCAGGACAATTTTTCTGACACGAGGGTATACTTTTTTTTTATTTTCTTCCAAAATCCGGTTAAATATGGGTTTGAAGAGGGAGGTTAATTGACCGAAAAGGAACTGTCTCATAAGAAATAAACATACTTTAAGATAACCAACTTTAGATAAACTTTTTTTTTGATAACTAAGGATATCCCTCCGGGTGGTTAACATTTACTCATTCTTTGGACATCCAATTTCAATCTTGCAAAAGAACTTTTGCACCTTTCTGCGACCATTGGAGACATTTGCATTTAAAAATTAGTTAAAATCAGGTCAAACTCAGCATTTTTAGTCGCAATATTGAGTGTCATAACTCCTAATTACGTGTATTTAGCTCATTTACAGCCATTTTGGACCCATTGTGCCAACTCTCGGATGCTGGAAAATTCAAAATTCGTTAAACAGCGATCCAGTGGGGCTCAATTGAATATCCCATACCCTTTATGGCGCCCTCGGTAATTAATTGCGTCGCTTATGATTTTAACCACACCGCTTATGGAAGTTCCGCACTGTGCGTCGCAAGGACGTCGTAAGGTGGATCGTAAGGACTCATATGAATCCGAGCGTTCGCCCGAGTCTCCGTCAAATAAACTTAGTTTCAAACTCAATTTTTATACTTTATCGCGAGCTAAAGTTCTAATCCAAAGCGCTTCTCGGTGAAGCCTCGGTGTCGTTTCGAGAGGAGAAAAATTCACCGCTTTGTGACGGTGTCAGAAATTTTAAGCATCCAAGAAATATTTCAAACATTAAGCGTTACTGGAGGGCGTTACGCGCCTAAAACGTATCTCGTCTGAAACACGACTACACCGTCGTTTTGTCACTGTAGAAAATCTCAAATATTTCAAGAGCGTTCAAAAAGTCTTTATCATTATTATCACGAACGAAGTTGCCTCAACATACATCCTCTGCCGTACTAAGTAAAAACAACGTAGAAGCATTTGAACGTTGCCAAATTTCTTCCTTGAAAATATTTATTTTCGGAGAAAGTCATAAATATTTTTCTTTGGAACTCCCAGACTTTTTAGATCAAGTTACGAACGAAATCCTGTGGAAAATCGGGGAATAAATGGACTACATTTTGCAATTAAAAACTATAAATTTCGGCCTGGTTAAAACAACGTAAATGCCATTAGTTTTCCTAAGCATATGAGTGTTTTTCCAGAAGAGCCAGAATTTATAGTTCAAAATTGCAAAATGCAGTCCAAATATTCACAGATTTTCCTGAAAATTCGTGGTTTGTCGAAGTAAATTTGGCAACGTTTGATGGCCCATACGGCGTTCTTGCTTAGCACGGCAGTCTTGCTCACGCACCTTTTTGATAATTTATTTTTCCTTTTCTCCTTCTTTTTCCCTAAATACATACGATGAGTAAGTGTGTGGTTGCATGACGTCTTTAATTACTACCCTATCACAGAGCCACTTCCTCCTGCCAAGATATCGCTATCACGTTCTGTATTTTTTCAGCAATGCTGCGTTGGAGCTAAATTTGGTGGACTCGCAGCGCTTTGACCCAGGATAATCTCCAAGTGACAGTGACTTCGTCTGGAACGTGTGCTTGCCCAGTGAAAGATAGAAAATAGTACGGTATGTGTTGCAGTAGTGCGTTCCTCCAGTTCCGATCGTATTTTCCGCCGGGGAACGATTCAGTGCGGCATACCATCCACTAACGCCCTCGTACCCAGTGGCAACTCCATTGTGTTCAACCTTAATTATTAGTTATTCAGTGTAAATAACGGATTATCTACTTCTCTTCTCCTTTCGACGGGTTCACCTACAATCTTGAGGTAAGTGTCTCTCCATTCGTTTCAAAAAATTTGGAGGGTTTTCTTAAACTGGACCACATTTTGCAATGAGGAACTCTTTCTACACTATTTTTGGCTCATTTCAGAAACAACATATATTCCATTGACTTTTTGGGTAGAAAGGTGCTTTTCTGAAAGAGCTAGAGGTAGTGCGGTTCCTTATTGCAAAATGCGATCAAACTGATGGGCGAATGCGAGAAAGGCTGTTGCCTCTTGCATGAAGAATGGATCAGTTGCGCTGTGCACAGAATCGTGTTCTGGTGCTTGAGTCTTGTAGACTAGCTACAGATAATAAGATCCATTCAAACAGCAGCTTTCTACATTCAATATCAACCGAGATATCGCGCTTTGAAAAATTCGGTTCATCACGTCATTCGCCGCGGCAGTGACACCCTTAATTTCTTCCACCTTGCTTCCATCAATCAGGGAGACCCACATTTACACTGTTTACTCAACGGGAGACTCGCGGGTGTAAGCAAGGTGGAAGAAACCAAGGGTGTCACTTTGTCACTGCCGCGGTGGATGACGTCATAAATCGAATTTTTCAAAGCGTGATATCTCAGTTAATATTGAATGTAGAAAGTTGCTGTTTGGATGGATGTAATTATTTTTAGCTAATCTACCAGAAGCAAGCGTTGAAAGACGATTCTGAGACCAGTGTAATTGACCCTTTTGGACTTTTTTGGGGTTGATTTTTGCCACTTTAATCAGGGGTGCAGAATGCCACTCTAGATCCGTCCTCATCATGCCATACATATCAAGCTGCTACCTCAGCGCACTAGAGCGCTCTGCGACTCCCAATCGCCATTGGAATCGATCATGTTCATCATGTTCCGTGGAGAAAAATGTTCACCTCGGGGGCGATCCGGCTGGCGCGCGAGGGCGAGGCGAGTTGAAAGGAGTGAAGAGCCCCCTTCACACGGCACAACAGTGACGATGGTGACGTGGGGGGGCGCTTTTTAGATGCAAATAAACTCGGGGTGAGAGCGGGGACCCGTGCACTCCTCGGCGGCGGTTCGTCACGTCGATGCCAGGGCGCGCTTCGATCGCAGGAGCCTTGACCCGTGTCACGGCTGCACATAATTACCGTGAACAATGTGTTTTCACATCGACTTTCCTCCCTCTCCGGCCCCGGCCCGGCCGCCACCCCCGGCGCGCCCTCATCTCGATGCGGCTCCGGCCCCCGCGCCCCCACACCGCACAGTGGGCAACCTGGTTCCAGATGCAGTCACAAGAAATATAACCTAAAAAACCCGGAAATCGTCGTTTTTTTCACGGAACAGAGTGTCTAGCATCAGGAAAAACCGGAATATCAGGAATTTTGACCGATCAGGAAAAAATCAGGCAAATATCAGGAAAATCGGAGAATCGGACGTTTTATCAGGAATTTCTCCTAGGCAAATGTCCTCAGCGGAGAAAATCTTACTGCTATTTGCCTGGCGTGCCAGGAGTCGAGAAAAATCAGGAAAATATCAGGAATTTTCAAAATGAAAAAATACTAGACACCCTACGAAAGAACGTAACTAATTTTCAATGTTGCCAAATTTCTTCTCCCAAATTGCATTTTTATCCGGAGAATCTCGGGTATTACTAATTCAAAATTTTGCAAATTTTACCTCGGATTTTGTGTAAAAATCAGAAAAAAATTTAGACAAAATTTGCTTAGGAATGTTTTTGTGAAAAATTGAATTGTTTGGGTCAATTTTGCAACCTTGGAACGGAGTTACGTCTCTTCGTTTGGGACTCAGCGAAATTCCAGGGGAGAATGGGTTTCCTGGTGTCGATAAGTCTAAAAATCTTAAAAACAAGACGACGGCTCCAACGTTAAGACGTTGGCGAGCGTTCACCGCAGCACCTCGTTAATATGTAAAAGTGGTTTTGCGCGGACAGAAGAGAGTGCTGAAAGATGCTGTCGAACTAAACGTGGAGCGTAACCTAGGAAACATACATATATACAAGAAATGTCTTGTCATCATAGAGTAAAATATAGGGGTCTAGTGAAGGGGTACTTTGTACCCAAAGATTTTTCTAGAACTACGACGACAAAAAATTTGAACGATCCTTGAAAGAGTCATTAAATAAAAGTGAGTTGCAGAGTTTTAAAACGTAAAGATATTAATTTCTCAAAGACAAGCCTACAGGCATTATATAAAGTGGACAAAATAGGAGAAAAAAGGTAAAATGAAACTTAAAAAAAAATTGAGAAACTAGATATGCCTCCCGCCACGAAAAATGGCGCCGATTCCCATGTAGCAGTGCGGGCCTTTACCAATGGATACATTAGTAACATACCCGATGGAAAACGACGGGAAAGAGCGTACACTACTAACGTGGTGAACGCTCAAAATCGAGAGTCAACACAGCCAAAGATAGGAGGAACGCAAACAGGCTGTCTTGTTCAACCTACCTACCGAATCTGAGCGACATCTCATTGCAGCATACAGTGGAGCATTTGGAGTTCACGCCTCGCGCCATCGCGCCTTCAATTTTGCAGATACAACACGGACATCCATCAAGCACGAATAGTTGTATCCCTCACGTATTGCGCAATACTTGAAGTATCCTTATAGGTTTGTAGGCGCCGTCATCGCCGCACTTCCTCTCCCTTGCTCTACTACCATATTGTTCTTGTTTCTGTTCGTCTGATTTGTGGTGGAGCTTCAGAGGTTACGTGAGCCACGGAATAGAACATGGGTTAGTAAGTCAACTGAGTCATAAGCATTTTAAAATTGATATACCAAGATATATTTGTGTGGTACGAATGTACTGGTTGAGAAATGATCATTATTTTTAAATAGACGATTTTAGAGGGGGAAATTTTTTTTAACCAGCTTTCTCATTAACAGCGATCGCAACAACTTCCGAAGAATTCCGACACTTGGAATTTTTTAACTGAATTTTATACCATTGCAATTTTTCCACCAAGATTGTTCTGATTTTGTATGAGACTAGAAGAAAAATCAGTGAAATTTTCAGTTGGGAATGCCCATGATTCTTCTGGTAAAAATGCAATTGGCGAGGGGAAAGGCATTATTGAACCGAATTGAAATTCATTCGTAAGGGAAATTGCCGTACATTATTCTTGATTTATTAACCAGCGGTTCACACATTCGCATTGCTTGCTCGATTTAAAGCACAAATGAAATCGAAGTGGAGGAAACCATGGTATGTAACCATGCTGTGTAACGTCATAAGTCGAGTTTTTTGAAGGGCAATATATCCCATAGAATTTGATGTGGGAACTTGGTGTTTGGAGAAATATTTTTTATTTTTTGCTGATTTCTGATCTGAAATCATCAAAACACGATTTTATGGCTATCTTAACTCACCCATTTTGTCTGAGTTATTCTTAAAATTTCAGTATTGGCCAAGTCTCGAATTGAAACACGTCAGTGAGCATCGACAGCTTTCAACCGAAAATCAGGACCCATCTTTAATTGAACTACTTTTTGCTATCAGAAAATACTATTTCTTATTTATTATAAAAATGACACTCCATTCGTTTTTTTTAATGTAGTAAGGTGCTCATACGTATGAGTTAGAAAGAGTAGTTTCTTATTGCAAAATGTAGTCCAAATGAAGATCTTACCAGCCTGTCTGAGGGTGTTGCCTAAATTGTCGTAATAGAATAATTGACAGTTAGTCTATTTTGAGGGAAGCATTGAAAAGATCGGAATATCACTTTACAATCTTGCCGATCATCTCTTTAGCTCTCCAACAAGCCTAATCGGTTAACAATTTACTTTTTAAGACGATTTTTCCATGGTTTGTAAAAAAAAAAAAAAAAAAAAAAAAAAAAAAAAAAAAAAAAAAAAAACAGAATTTTTAAGTTCTTTGTTATTTTCTAACTCCACGCTGTGATGATAAGGAAAATAAATCCTCACAGGCCTGTCAGATGCTCATTATGCTCTTTAAAATGAAAAATCATAAATTGGATGCAAACGCTTTCCACCCTTATTTTTTCGAATCGAGCCGTGCTACAAGCCACAAACTTGGTCATGAATCCTTCGATTTTTCGCTCAGTGTGCCCTGCCGAGCCGGTGCCCCAATTATAGGGTCATGAAAAAAAAGTATGCATATGCTTCGATGTTGAAAGCAATCCTCGATCTCACCATCGCCATGTCGATGTAAAATGAACCAATTACACGGAAACAATACAAAATCCCCCACGCTTAGATATTTCACGTTCGGGAGATTTCAGATGCACAATTTGGCACCATGCTCGCGTGTGCAGCCCTCGAAAGCTCGACGCTTGGTGTTTCCTGAAAGGTATAAATATAACTTTTTAATTTTTCTACTCGCTGGACCCGGGTTGCCAGGTTTCTCGGGAAAATGTATGATATGCAGCTCCTTAGCTTTTCCTTGACTTCCAGACATTTGGTACTTACCTCTTTTTCGAATAAATTTTTTTTACCGATTTTTTTAAAAAGAGAACAATTTTTTTTCACAAATAAAAAAGTTCAACAAAAAGTTATTTTCTTCGTTCTAAGAGAAATGCTCTTTTCCCTTTTCCCTAATCCTCCGATACTTCTTCTCTTTTTCTTCTTCTTCTGAATTTCTGTTTCTTCTTCTCTTTATTCATCATGTTCCTCTGACAATTACGTTTTTCAATTGCAAGCCTCCGTCCATCAAAATTGCGATTATCATGAGCTTTTTTTTGTGTCATTTTTTGTTTACAACCACTGTTAGCAGCGTTACTAATAATTCAATTTTCAGTTAATTTTTGGCACTCTGGTCCTTTTTTCCTTTCCCTTAAGTTTGCAACTACGCCCCTCCCCAACTCGAGCTGCACTCAACTCAATGCAGCTTTTGTAATTAGAAGAATTATGCATTAAAAATGATGTTTCGAGCGTGATGTATTTTTTATTAATGAACGCCGTCCCTTTGGACCGTGCCAAAGCTTCATTAGCCCTTAATCCTCCAGTAAGTTCGAGAGAGCAAAGCACTACGGGCGTTACTCCTCCCACCCACCCCCGCCTCCG